CCTGCCGCCGCCCCTGTGCCGGCGCTGCTATTTACTTTTCCGAGCAGGAGCGAGCGCTGAATGGGCCGTTGTGCCGCACTCCAGCAGCGCTCGCCGGACGGAGCCAGCGAAGGGGGGAGGAGGAGGCCAGGGGAGGAAGGGATGGGCGCCTTGGGGAGAGGGCAGTGACCCCGTAGGCACGTCCCGCTGCCCTGGCAGAGGGGATCCGCATCCCTGGAGCAGCCAGCGTGGCGTGGGGCAGCGCCAGCGCGGGCAGCGGGTGTCACATTTAAGCTCACCATTTTCTGTGCCTGGCCTTTTCTTTCCTGTCTGCATAATTCACAGGAAACATAACTGTCCAGGGCAGAAAGTCAACATCCAGCTAACAGTGCCACTGCTGCTGAGCAAACAGAGCACTGCGGCTCGCAAGCCAGGGGTGCCGGCCCCGCTCACCCGTCCCCAGCACCTGTGCAGAGCAGCCCCGTCACTGCGGGACACCGGCTGCGCAGGCACCCACCCCTTCTGCATCTGCAACCCCAGATTTCCTAATTCTGTTTGTTTCCTTGTTTCAGAGAGGCACAAGGTGGGAGTGCATGTGGGAAGTGTCATTTCCTCACAGACCACTTTTGCTTTCCTCCCTGGCTCTTTTTTGTTGTTGTTGTTTTCTGCCAGTGCTGTATTTCATTCTCCTGGGGAAGATGAGCAGAGCCACAGCCTGCAATAAAAGTCCACCCAGCAGTGAGCTAGTCTAAGTGCCTGGGAGGCTGGAGCTGAGTCTGCCTGGGGAAGAGGGGGCCAGTAAAGGACCAGGAGGAGTTTTCCACCTCCTTTCTCCAGCCAGCCCTTTGCTGTGCAATGGCTTGAGCAGGCGTGTGTCAGCCCAGGATGGAGAGGGAGGCTTGGCTTGAGCTGCTCGGCCAGCAGACGTGCACCAGCCTGGCTGCAGGCCTGGCGCTTTCCCACTGCTCCTCCTGCCAGTGCTGCTCCCTTCCCAGTGCTCCCGAGAGGGGCGACCTCTCCTGCTGCGAGGGGCCCCTTCTCCTGCTCTTGACTCCCCAAGGGCCAGAGCCTCAGGCATCCCGTCCCTGCGTGCTCCAGGATGGGGAGCCCGTATTGTCTCCTTGGTGCAGGTGCCGCTTCCAATCCCAGCACGCTGCCGCTGGGCGAGAGAGGGAGAACCTGTTGTGCCAACCTGCGAGGAGCTCTGGGACACGCTGGTGGTGAAGGGCGAGCGGACACCAGCTTTGACACTGGTCCTGGGAGCTCACTGCCTGCAGCAAATCCCAGAGACCCAGTGCTGGGCACCGCGGCTGCTGCCTGACCGCATTCGGTGCTGAGGGTGGCACGCGCTGAGGAGCTGCGTTGAACAACAGCTCCTGGCCATCTCGGCCGGACTGAAGCAGCAAGGGGAAACGCAGTGGAAGGCAGCCAGGCGCTTGCACCTCATGTCTCTCCCTGTGCCCTTCACTTTCTCCTGTTCATCTGCATCCTTTCTCACCGCACACAATAGGAGGAAGCCACCGGCTCAGGCTCTGCTTCCTCGTGGGCTGTACCAGAGCTGAGGGGAGGAAAACCACAGCGCTTCCCCGCTGGGCCCTTTAGGAGGGTGGCGAAGGCGCGCTGGGAGCACCTCCCGAGAGCCCGCATGGCAGGTAACGCTTGGGCACCAGCTGGCAGCGGTGCCCCTCGTGGTGCTGCTTGGAGGGGCAATGGGCAGCGAATCAGGCTGCGGGGCAGATGCGATGGGCCCTGGGAAACACCGCCTGCGCGAGGGGTTCATCAGAGGCAGCAATGGTGAATGCAGCAAGGGAGAAGCTGGAGTGACAGTCACTGACCAAGAGCCCTGGGGAGGTCAGCAAAGCTGGGGAAGGGGCTGTGGGCTTGCTGCCTGCCTTTGGGCCTGAGGAATGGGAGCAACAAGAGCCAGAAGGGGCAGGATTTGTTACCATGCGAGCTGTACTGGGGGGTGGAATATGGGTTTGTGAGCAGTTTCCCGGCGATATGATCCTATTTATTTATTTATTTATTGCCTCTTGAAAGAAAGAGAGCATAAAGGCAAAAGCAGTCTTTGCACCATGACACGGCCTTGCAGGCTGCCTGTCACTGGGCAAAACCCCAGGATGGGTCTCCCAGCATGTCCCAACATTGGGAAGCACCTTCTAGCTCTGCCTCTGTGGCCCCTCAAATGCAGGGGCCCTGTGCCCCGGTCTCCTTCCCTTCCAAGCGGCCAAAGCCAGGGAGAAATAAAGGGACTCCCACAGTGGGAAGACATGGAGAGTGTGTTCCTGGCACCCTTCTCCTGGAGAGGCTGAAGTTACATTTCTCCACAGTGCTGAGGAGCAAGGGATGGTGCTGTCAGTGGTCTGATGAGGGTGGCTTTCCTTGGCCTCCTGCTCCCCATGCAGGGCAAACAGCCCCGGTGACAGGTCACTCAGCCCTCCTCCCCGTCACGAGCGCTGAGTGAGCTGCCGGCGTGAGCTGGAGCGGCAGCACGAGCGTTTGTCCGGCCGCAGGGATGGATCGAATAGGGGCAGGGTGGGGAGATGCAGCTCATCCTGCCAGCGCGTTGCTAGCTCAGGGTTTTCCTCCAAGTCTCTATTTTTCAAGAGGGAACAAAAGGAGGAAGTGGGGGGTCGAGTTGCATGGGCTGCTCCATCTGTGCATGGTGGGCACATGGTCGGGGGTGATAGGAGTCAGGGCAAGTGGGGGCCAGGGCACCGATGATGTCTCACGGGTCCAGCAATGTACAGGGGTCAGGGCTTGCTCCGGGAGAGGGGTGGCTGAAGCTGCCTGGGACTGATGGCCCAGCAAGGACGAGGTGCTTTATGAGGTGCTGGCCAGGGCTTGGGGTGTGAAGAGTGACCTGGAGCCGTCCTACATGGGCTGGGAGAAGCGAGGATGAACTGGAGCAGCTCTTTGCTGTGCCCAGCCCTGACGGGTGCCATGGGCCATTTCGCTCCGTGTTTTGGGTTGCAGCCGAAGGCGCCGTGCTGATGCTCTGGCCCACGGTCCTCGCCCTGCCTCTGCTTGCCAACAGAGCGGCCCAAGGGGTCCCAG